GTTACCATCATATCCGATGGTATCACCTACAACGGTATGTATCTATCTCTGCTACAGATAGTCTCTACTGACACTTTAAACAAGACCTTTTGTCGATATCCGACCGCGAAACATGGATCTATGGCGAGGCTTTACGGCAGATGGCGGTCGAGAAGAAGTTCACGTACGTTGCCTTCTCTCGTCTGAAGGACATACTAGACCTTCCGCTCCCGGACAAATTGCGAGAGATCACATATGTTGCGAATTGTACCAACTTCCGCCGACTGCTTCTGAACAAGCACGGAAGGCCGGATATCGATATCGATAAGGAGATCAAGGAGAATGCTGATACGAGACTCACTTATCTCGGCTACCGCAAGTTTCTCGAGTCGGATCTGAAGCACATATTCGCACTTGGAGAGAACCGCGGCAGCAACCAATACAAGAGGGACGTCAAATATCTAGCCAAGCAGATGCTGTTCAGAGGATACGTAAGTTCCGAGAGTCCTCGCACTACTGGCTGAGCTATCGGACACTGACATCAAGTACAGGCTTATGCTGGAGCAGTCAAAGCCGCCTTCCCACACCACCTGAGGTTATCAATACACGAATCGATAGGCGACCACAAGATATCGATAAGTCTCTTGAACACCAAGACGGGCTACACCACACCATGGCACTGCAGCGTAGCCATGCTAGGCGACGGAACATGGGTGAGCGCGCCTAAAGGCGAGTTCGAGAAGGACCAGCGGCTTGAGCTAATATACGAGAACGGGCGGCCAAGCTACTTCAAGGAGAACAGGCTGCAAGAATCGGATATGCCGTGGATCAGCGAAGCCAACACCGGCTATCTGCAAGCTCGCAGCCCGTTCAGCGGCACCAAGAGCGGATATTCATCGCCGAGCGCGATGTCGATGGCCAGTGACGCATCAACCCCACCAACGTCCGTCGTACATTCACCACCACGTTCTTCACCGCGCTCTTCACCACGTTCTTCAGCAAACATGAAGTCCTCGGACTCATCATCCGCAGACGGCACTGGTGGAGAGCCGGCGTATGGACGCCGTCTCATACCTCAGATCATGGACCAAGTCGCGCGGTATAATCCCAACCGGGTTGTCTTCTCCATCGCAACGACTTCCGACGCAGGTCTGACGTTCCGAGACATATCAGCGCATACTTTTGCGAAGGCCGTGGACAAGACAGCCTGGTGGCTCCATGACCAGATTGGCAAGTCGGCATCGGTGCGGCCAGTAGGCTACGTCGGGCCACACGACCTCCGACATGTCCTCCTCACATATGCTTGCGTCAAGGTCGGCTACGCCGCACTCAACCTTTCGCCCAAGAACAGTGTTGAAGGCGCCCTGGCTGTGCTCGAAGCTACCGAATGCAACGTTTGGGCCAAAGCATCCGATGTACCGGCAGCCCCCCTGGTGAAGAGCTTCCTGGAGAGGCGCTCAATGAAGCTGCTGGAGCTACCACTCTTGGACGACCTGTTGGATGCAGAAGCCGCCAAGCCATTTCCGTTTACCAAAACGTTCGATGCCGCGGTCTCAGAACCTTTCTGTTATCTTCATACATCGGGCTCCACGGGGGTGCCAAAGCCTATTCCATGGTCTCACGGTCTGATTGGGACGATGGATGCGATTCGCCTACTTCCACCTGTCGATGGCGACGGGGGAATGGTGCCATGGACGTCGGACTGGAAGGAAGGAGACCGGATTTACTCTTCCTTTCCCATGTGCCACGGCGCTGGCATCATCATGGACATTCTCATGCCGGCATTGTTTGATCTACAGTGTGTTTTGGGACCGAAAAACGTGATCCCCAACATGTCGCTGATCGAGAACCTCGCCGATGGCGCCAAGATCGACATCTGGAGTATGGTCCCATCACTCGTCGATGAGCTTGGAGACACGCCTGATGTGTTGGCCAAGCTCCATACATCTAAGTTCATCTGCGCTTCCGGTGGTCCAGTCAGCCCAGTCAGTGCCGGCAAAGTCAACGACGTCATCAGAGTGCTCAACTTGACGGGAACGACAGAGGGTCTCTTCATCGGCAACCTCGTTGTTGATAGAGAGGATTGGTTATGGTTCGCCTTCCACCCGTACTCCGGCTTCGACTTCAAGGAAGTTGAACCTGGTATTTATGAACACTGGGTGCACCGCAACGAACATTCGTCCTTATTCCAAGGCATCTTCCACACATTTCCAGACCAGAAGTCTATCAATCTCAAGGATCTCTACAAGCAACACCCTACTAAGCCCAATTTGTGGGCGTTCACAGGGCGCAATGATGATCTCATCGTCCTGTCCAACGGCTATAAGATTCTACCATTGGAGTTCGAAGCCCTAGTGGGTACACACCCTGCGATTGATGGCTGCCTTGTTGTGGGTAGCCACAAGCGCCAGCCAGGCCTTCTCATCGAATTAAAGGCTGCCGTGGACAAGAGCGATGAACTCATGGACAGCATTTGGGCCAAAATAGAGACTAGCATGTCTTCAGCGCGACACGCCGTAAACTTGACACGCGACTATGTTATCTTTGCGCAACCAGATAAGCCCTTCGTCCGTACCGATAAAGGAACCGTCAAGAGAAGAGGAACAATTACGCTCTACGATGACTACATCGAGCGACTCTACAGCTCTCAAAACCCAGAGATTACTTTTGACATCGATACCAGCTCTACATCCACGTTGCAGCAGTCAGTAAAGGACATACTCGCGTCCTCTCTTCCAGCCATCTCGACCGCCACCCCGAACGATGACTTGTTCGCCCTCGGACTTGATTCATTGGGAGTGTCTGCATCGGTCACTGCTATCCGATCAGCTATCGCAGGCCTGGACAAACTCGCACCCCGTCATCTGTATGCCAATCCAACCCTGGCCAAGTTTATCGCCGCTCTCGAGCCAATGATCGCTGGAGTGAAGAATGGAGATAGCACAAGTCATGCTGCTAGCGACCGAGAATCGACCCTGCAGCGCATGATCGCCCAGAGAAGAGCGTGGCAGTCCTTCCGGTTGAACCCCTTCGACTATGTCAACCCAAACCACTACATGGGACTAGTATTCTACTTTCCCCTGAAAGCAGATGCAACCTTTGAAGAGACGTTTGCGAACATGCAGGCGGGACTCAATCGGACTTTTGAGCTCATACCAGCCCTTGGTGGAAAGATGATCCGATCGTGCCAAGACGAGATTGCATATACGACAGGCAACCTCTCCGTCGCCGTGCCACCCTTTGGTCGCCCAGCTCGCGACCGGCTAGTGTTCAAAGATCTGTCTCACGTGCTTCCAACTTTCGAGACCCTACGAGATGGTGGCTTCGTACCATCAGCCTTCAAGGACGAGCTGGTCCTGCGACAGGATACTTTCCCAAAGCTGCCCGCAGATATCATTGTGGCGCAAGCAAACTTCATCAAAGGCGGTTGCATCCTCGCTATGGACCTCAACCATTGCTGCCTTGATGGAGTAGGTGCTATTATTGCCATCAAGGCCTGGGCTGAGAACTGCAGGTACCTGCAAGGTGACTCATCAGCAACATGTGCGTGGTACGATGCGGAGAGCTTCAACCACAGCCTTCCCGAAGTACTGCATGACTTGGAGGGACATGCGCGCTCGGTAGATGAGATCGACCCTGATGTCTGGGGCCTACTTCCATTTGTTCCCACGGACGATGTCCTTGCGAAACATGCTGCCAGGGCAGCAGGACCTCTCGGCCGACCGCCACGCTACCCGCTGCACTCGGTATGGCCCTTGCCGGCTGCTGAGAGGAAGATGGACACTACCCTATTTTTGATCTCACCCGAGAAGGTCGAATTGCTCAAAGCGGACGTCGCAAGCGATCCGGCCGCTAACGGCGTCACCACATCCATCAGCGATATAATACAAGCGTTCTTTTGGCGCTCCGCATTGCGAGCTCGTCTCGCTGTAGCCAAGGCCAATGGCCGACAGGTCAACCCCGACGACTTCTCCATCCTCGAGTTGCCAACGGACGGGCGACCTTACTTCTCCTCCCTCTTACCAGACTCATACATGGGCAGTCTACTCACGCTCAACCGAACAAGCATGCCAGTCGAAGAACTCTGCGCCTCGACTACGAGCATTGCAAGTATCGCGCAGATGCTGCGTGCTTCTGCTGCGCGCATGACACCGGCACTGATACACGACGCGTTCACTCTGCTGCAGTCACTGCCAGATCACAGCAGGTTCTCCACAGCCAACATGGGTCTTGACCACATGCACGCCATGATCTCAAACATGATACTCTTTCAGATGAACGAGATCAACTTTGGTCATGCGTATTTCACCAACGGAGGTTCGCCAGAGACGATGAGGCCTCAGCTGGAACGCGGCAGTGGGCGATTCAGGTTCCTGGTGGTGTTCCCACTGAAGGCAGATGGTGGCGTGGAGTTGGTGTTGGGTACGTTCCCCGAAGAGCGAGATATGCTTGCGCGCGATGAGGAGTTCACTAGATATGCGCGACTGGTTGATGTTGCCGCTTGTTGAGCTAGGTTAGACTGGGCACTATGAGAGCATTGCGGGGAGTTTGGTAGCTATTGCGCGTGTAATTTGACTGTCACCCTATTTGAACTGGTGCAAGTGTCACCTTGGGATAACGCACTAGTGCCAGAGGAATGCAGGTGCACTTGTACTTAGCGCGATGGAAGTGGGAGCAGGTCCATGCGACAACCTTGGAAGTCTCAGTGGCGCCATGTAGCCCCCAAACGCATGTCAGCTGTGCATGAGCAGGGTTCAGGGTTTCGGGCCATAACGATCGCAAACATGCTCTTCGCCGAGCCGCTTGTGCAACCCGCATGTCATGCTCGTATTAGCCCGTCTACTTAGCGAACATGACAAGTCAGCCAAGTACAGCAGGGTGTGGCTTTCTCACTCACATGGTTGTTACGGGCTTCACCAACTAGTCTAAGAGTGTCAGCAGCCACCACAGTGCGCATACTGCCTAGATTTTGCCCTTGTCGATACACCCACTCAACCCTCTGAAGCCTTCAACCGTGCGACATGAGTCGCTCTCGCGCATCGATCGAAGAGCCTCTTCTCTCTCCATCATCTTCAACATCCAGCTTCGCCGAAGCTGTCGAATCAAGTGCCGACGATCCCAGTTGCCCATCTCCAGAAGATCCACCCACTAACGATGACGGCCCATCTCCCACAGCCCAGCCAGGCGTCCTCGCCATCGAAGCCACAACGCAAGCCTGGACAGGACATTCCCTAACAACAGCCTACATAATGATCTGGTTCATCTACTTCGTCGAAACACTGCTAGCCGGCACAACAGCAGCGCTCATACCATACGTCACATCAGCCTTCTCCATGCACTCGTTCACGCCCACCGTCAGCATCCTCAGCAACGTAGTCGGCGGAGTGACCAATTTGACGATTGCCAGAATCATCGATGTCTTTGGGCGACCGCATGGCTTGATATTATGCGTGTGTCTCGGAACACTGGGGTTGCTCATCATGACAATATGCGAGGGCGTCGCTGTGTACGCGGCGGCAATGATATTCCATACGGTGGGAAATAATGGCGTGCAGTATATACTGGCAGTCTTCATCGCTGATACGACAAAGTTGGAGAACAGGGCGCTGATGCAGGCCCTTATGAACTCGACTGGTCTGATTACGGGATGGGTAGCTGGGCCGTTGGCTCAACGGTACCTTGGTGGCTTGGGATGGCGGTGGGCGTTTGCCATGTTCAGTGCACTCGTTCCGCTTGTTACGCTGCCGCTGTTTGGGCTGCTGATGTGGAATTACAAGAAAGCGAAGAGAATGGGACTTGTGCGCGAGCGCAAGACCGGTCGCAATGCTCTGCAGTCTGTGATACACTACAGCCGGGAGTTTGATGCGATCGGCTTGTGCTTAGTGTCGGCGGGCGTTACCCTTTTCCTGCTGCCGTTCAACCTACACACGTTGGCGGGCAACGATTGGGCGTCGCCAATGGTGGTCGGCATGTTCGTAGTCGGCATTGGTCTTCTCATCGCATTCGCATCGTGGGAAAGCTCTTTTGCGCCCATCCGCCTTCTTCCATACAGCTTACTCATGGATCGAACCGTCTTCGGCGCATGTCTCCTATGCACATGTCTCTTCGGCAGCTACGCCGTTTGGAACAGCTACTTCGGCTCATACCTGCAAGTCGTGCAAGGCCTTAGCGTGGAAGAAGCGAGCTACGTCGCGCAAGCCTACACCGTGGTCAGCGTGGTATTCGCGGTCTTGGCCGGCTACATCATTCATCGCACTGGCCGCTTCAAAACCGTTTCGCTCGTCATTGGTATCCCGCTCAGCATGCTGGGTCAGGGTCTCATGGTCCTCTTCCTCGCTCCAGGGAACACCGGCTATATCATCGTGTGCTTCCTCCTCATCTCCGTTTCACAGGGCGTCCTCGTCGTTACGGATGAGATCGCTATCCTGGCCGCCGGGTCACATGAGCATGTCGCCGCAATGCTAGCTCTCGTTAGCATCTTCGGCAACATCGGCGGGGCAATCGGTTTGACTATCGCCGCCTCGATCTGGTCGGACGTGCTTCCAAGTCGACTTCGGCAGTATCTGCCTACGGAGGAGCTGCCAGATCTTCACAAGATCTTTGGGGATCTGGCGAAGCAACTGTCTTATCCGGTCGGCTCGCCCGCGCGCATCGCTATTCAGCATGCATATGAAGACGCGTTGTCTCGGCTTCTGCTCGTGAGTACGGGTATCTGGGTCCTCGGCGCTGTTGGGGTGTTGATGTGGCGGAATATCAATGTTAAGCAGGTTCAACAGAGCAAGGGCCATGTCTGGTGATAGCGACTTTGTCGGAGTCGGGATGGCATGTGGTATCTGCAGTAGACCGGAATGAATATTGATATAGGGTCGATGTTGCGCAGAAGAAAGCGTTGACGGGAATAGCGTGTGTGTGCCGAGAATGGAGCAATGACGGCCTCTCGTTCGATCGTCGGAAATAGATGCTCCGTAATACGGCTTTATGGGGCGTAATCGACGTACTGAGAACATTTTAGTACTACTCTCACGACACAGCGCTTCACGAGGGTTTGCGCCAGTCCATTGGAACTAACTATGACCAACTGTCGATATATAACTCTCTCCGACTTTCGAGGTAGTGCACGACCTAATACCCAACAAGAAGAAGCTATGCAACAACCCCGCCAGTCCCCGCAGCCAGCGCCTGACGCACAGACATTCGCGAGGCTCCATTGTACCAAGCTTGAGGTCTCTTCGATACCAGTCGAAGACCGCACTTGTTTGCTTTGCGACACAGATTATGACGACCCTAGCCCTGATGAGGGAAGCGATCCCGAGCACCCTGTGCAAGTTGACTTCGGCGATTGTCACCACGTCTTCGGTCATCGTTGCCTGCGCAAGTTGATCGATGGCCGAACTGCGTGGAGTAATAAGTGCCCGCTATGCCGGACGCAGTGGTTTGGCACTGTACCTGTACCTTTGCGCCCAGATCAAGTCATTTTCTACATTCGAGCAAGAGAGCCGGTGTACTCTCCCTGGCCAGAACGCCGTCGAAGGGTGGAGACGGCAGTGAGAGCTCAAGCTGCGCGACTGCTTGGTAGGAGAGACAGGGACGAGGGTGGAGACCAAGCGGATGCATCACGAGTTGCAGACCTTGAGGGACTTGAGGAACGCACACGGCCAGACAATCGGCACATCTGGTGAGGCCGGCGAGGTCTGGAAGACTTGCAAGATCGTGTGATCTATTAAAATGTGAAAGGACTGGCAGTGCTTGATGTCTTGTGCAGGAGCCCGAGGGCTGGAGTATTCGTGAATCGGACGACAAATATAACAGGCCGCTTCGGCTACTCGGTGGAAGGGTGGGCGTTGGTGCGGAGAACTGGAGTACCATGGTTGTGTTTGTAGCTGTCTCTTTGTTTAGCAGGCTGATCTGTCGTGGGTCATCATGTGCGGATGCTGCGGAGAAGTTAGATCCCCTGATATGAGAAATCTGCTGTCGGCCGTGAAGTCGCATGCTTGCACAGGGTACTAGAATAAAAAACGTTGATGCACATCATACTTGATGCCATGAATTGAACTCGTGGAATCCATTGCAATGTCTCCGTACGTGATCGCGACTTTGAAGGCCTGACGTGAAGCACGAAACAATGTATAAGTACCCTTCGCAGGAACGTTGTTCCTTGCTTCCTTACCATACCTACACACGTTGCGCAATCCTGTAAATCAGCTTCTTCAACATGCCCAGTCGACGAGCTGAACGACGCATTCGCGAGCATCTATCGCATTTGATACCCGTGCCACTACTCGATGTACCAGAAAGCGACCGCGTATGTACGTTGTGCTACGAACCTTTTCCTGCGCCAGAAGAAGCCGGCGACTACCCAGTCCGTGTACGCTCCACCCACGCCAACTCGACTTGTCGGCATGTGTTCGGAAGGACGTGCATCGAAGGGCACCTGAGCAGCGGTAGAGGATATAGCAGGAGGTGCCCAATATGTCGCGAGAGCTGGTTTGGCGAAGCTGAGGGCGATGCATTCGGAAGCGTCGACGAAGAGGCGGAGGAGTCTGCAGCGGCATCGTTTCTAGAGGGGAGTCGCTTTCGTGCCCCTGCAGTGGGACTGAGGGACCGGCGAATTGAGCTTATCTTCGGGTTGGAGGATACGAATGAGCAAGATGTTCAGCGATTCTTCGAACATATAGGTGAAGCTCTGCGTGGTATGCCTTCCGCAGAAGCCAATGGTCAAGCAGCTATCGACCAAACGACCCAAGCGATTGCTGACGCCGAGGAAAGATTGCGCGTGATTCGCGACGTCGAAGGCGATCGCGCAGCACCCCCAGCTGTGAACGTTTCGCAAGGCATGCGTCGTGGCAGCGCAGAAGAGGAAGACGAGGAGATGGCACGACGAATTATGCAGGCGGGGCTTCAACAGGCCAGGCCGCCGGCTGAGGGTACGACCCTACGACCCGCCGAGGCGACTGCGGTGGCCCCGGTCGCGGTATCACGTGGCAATGTTGAGCGGCGCTTGTCAGATCGAGAGTCTCAGCCGGGACATATACCGCCAGCGTTGCGACGCCGCGACAGATTGTCTGAGCGACAACACGACGCGACCCTTTCGAGCGCAGGCCGCATTACAAGAGCAATCGGCTTCCTGGAGCAGCTTCGCCGGATGGAAGAGATGACCATCGATAGTTCTGACATAGTTGAGAGAGTGCAAGAAGTCGAAGATGCCGTAAACGCTCTGTGGCGGGGTGTTGAGGGCGATAGGCTGCGGCGAGAGCGCATTCGCTTCGTGCGTCGCGACTCTTAAGCAATGATTGATCAATGCAATTAGCTTTTGTAAATGCAAGTGTTTCCGTGTTTGGTTGCCATGATGTGAAGATGAAGTGGGTGTGCTTGGGGGGCGATGCGTTCGGGATCCGACCGGAGATTGCGATTATCTCCGACGTCGCGCTAGTCGCGTCTGATTCTGCACGCCAACGCGACTACCAACAACGCGTTCAGAAGCGCGCAGGCTCTGCCACATCGCCTTTGTCATCAAGCCGTGATACTACAAAGGATCTGCTGCCTCAATATGTCGTGTCCACCAGCCGATGAAGACTTCAAAGTCGCCACAGATCGCTTTCTGGCGTGGTTCAAGGCCGGCGGTGGTGTCTTCCGCGACGACCTGCTGGAAATACAAGATCTGAGACACAAAGACGCTGGGCGAGGAATCAGTATGCCATCCGGTCAAGCAACACGTAAAATGGTGAACACTAATAGTGCATAGTCGCAAAGAAAGACATACCCCAGGACACGACGCTATTCACCATCCCCAGGGACCTAATCATCAGCGTGGAGACTTCCGAACTTCCCGGGAAACTGCCAGAAGTTTTCGACGCGTTTGTCGGTGGTGAAGGCGACGATGAGAAAGAGCCTCTCGACTCATGGACATCCCTCATACTGGTCATGATGTACGAGCATCTACAGGGCGATGCATCACGCTGGAAGCCATATTTGGACGTACTACCACGGATGTTCGACACACCCATTTTCTGGTCCGAAGCAGAACTGAAGGAGCTTGAGGGAACTTGCCTTTCGGTCGACAAGGTTGGAAAGCAGCAGAGTGATGACATGTTGAGATCGCGCGTTGTTCCTGTCGTCGAGCAAAACCCGAAGGTCTTCTACCCTGAGGGGGCTTCAAAGTTGAGTAGTCAAGATCTTCTTGATCTTGCGCACCGCATGGGTAGCACAATAATGTCTTACGCTTTCGACCTGGATAACAAAGACGAGGAGTCCGACAATGAAGAAGACGGATGGGTCGAAGATCGCGACGGCACCACTCCGCTTGGAATGGTACCCATGGCAGACATACTCAATGCGAATGCCGACTTCAACGTGAGTCATATGCCAGTGTAGACGCAGACTTCATTGAGCTAACAGAACCCGACAGGCACATATCAATCATGGCGACAGTCTCGAAGTTACATCGCTTCGATCATCTCTGCCAGCTGGGTCGGAGGTCCTCAACTACTACGGTCCATTACCAACGTCCGAGCTACTACGCCGCTATGGCTACGTAACACCTGAACATGCCCGATACGATGTAGCAGAGCTACCGTGGGGCCTCGTTCGCGCAGCGCTCATTGAACAGCTCACAGTGTCGGAAGAGGTCGTTAGCAAGGTCGAGGTACGATGACGACTGTCACGCTTCTGACAGGCGCATGCACTGACAGTAACCCAGGCAAAGCTTGAAGACGACGAAGAGTTCGAAGAGTACTTCATCATCGAGCGCGACTCCGGCGACCCAGATTCGGAAGGGCAACTCACGTATTCGGCTCAGCTGCGCGAAGTATCCCCAGAGTTGGAAGAGCAAGTAAAGGCTGTGTTCAAGGGTATCAAGCAGCAAAAGCCAGAGCTCTTTTCGGAGAAGCGGAAGCGCGTTGACGACTACCAAGCGATCGTATCGAAGTCTTTGACTGCAAAGCTTGCGACGTATCCGACGACTATGAAGGAAGACGAGACGCTTCTCAAACGTGACGATCTGGCTAAGCGCCATCGCATGGCAATCACAGTCAGACTTGGTGAGAAGAGGCTGCTTCATGAAGCTCTGGCTCTTCTGCAGCGGGATGAAGCGGATAATGTCGCAACCCAGGTCGGGAAGAAGACGAAGCAGAAGGCGTAATGTAAAGTAACCACTAAATCGGGAGAAGGCGATACCCATGTCGCATTCGCGCGATCTACAAACACACGAATCGAACATCTCATAATTTATCGCATCCCGATCACTTTCGCGCTCAAGGACCTGTCGTCGTATGCCATTCAACGCGCGTATCGCTGAACCTTGTCCTCTAATGACACTCGCCACGCGCGTATGCTGCGGCCGCGACATCACACCGAAAGCCCCAGCTCGCGATACGCACTCTTCAATGGCAACTGTTGTCACAGCGGTAGAGGGTCGCCACGTCGAAGTGTTCACGATGCCGATACTGTAGTTCACCGTCGTATGGCTCGGATTGCGTTGCGCATTGCATGTAAGCAGCCTTGGGGTCGTAGACGTCACGCAATTCCATCACTCTAGCCCACGATTAATAACCGTGACAGCCACAAACGATCCACATCATTTACTCACTCGCTCCACGTCTCATTACGTCGATGTTACCCATGCCAACCGTCACATCGACAACGCGCGTGTAGTGCTCAAGTTTGGGAATGACAACATGTCAAAACGCTCGCTACCCACGAAAAACGGACAGACGCCAACGAATGTGGCATGTTAGAGGCTGGGCACTCTCAAGCAACGTCCGCGAAGACGCAAAAGATGTAACTTGTGCATTGTCGTTAG